GGGGACAAGGGGAAAAAATGAGAACCAAGACCTGGCATGTGAAGGTACAAGATCCCAGTAATGAATGTAACTGTACTGTCTACCTAGAATGTACCAATAAATTCAATAAAGAAAGAGAATGTAATCATTATGTACTGCAAAGGTACAAATACAAAATTAAAATTTAAAAAGAAGTAACTAGGAAGAATCATCTGGGAAATCATTGATTTCAGGTTCTGGAGGACTAATGGAAAAGTCCAGAGTAAACTCCTCACTTAGGGGATTCTCGCCCTAACTGAAATCACAGAAAGGAAGAACATGAGAGAAGTCCTGAGTTCTGACCCTTACCATCTTAGCTCAGGAGCTGGCTGACTTCATCCTGGCAACAACCATAAATCACATCATCTTTACAGTGACACATGAGAAAGACAGTTCATGCCGCTGAAGACCTCCTCCAACAAACAGCCCACCAGATATGAGAAGATCGCATTTGATAGAATGGATTCTAAGATACAGAGAACTGTCCGTTGCTGGTCTGGCTGATACTGAGAGCTGATAGAGGAGCAGACAACATCACATGATTTGTAGAGAAGCATCCTAGATGTGTCAAGGACTTCACCCAAACCCAGGATGATTGAGGATTACCTAGCAGGAAGGCTCCATGAATTAAGAGACTGGTGAAATAGGTGAGACAGAGCAGAGATCAACACAAAACTAAGTGTTGTCAAGTCTGCAAAGAACTTGTAACAGACATGAGAAAGCAAAACAAGTCATTCTCCTTATCATCTCACCCCAGAGGGAGGTCTCCCCTAAGAATTAGGAATCTATCTCTCCAAACCTTTTAATTTCCCAGTTGCTTTTTTTTCAGTGACACTATTGTCCACCAAATGGGGACGGGGAATCAAAGTAAAAGCAACATAATTTTTGCAACTTAATATTGAAATGGCATCCTGTCATTTCAATGTTTTATTAATTAAATTAGAAGTGAGTCACAAAGTCTAGCCCATACTCAGAAAAGTAAATTATACAAGGGCATAACTACCAGCAGGCAGGGATCACGGTGGGTCATCCTAGAGGCTGCCTACCGTAATAACAGATGCAAAATTTCTTAACAAACCTTGAAAAAAATCTAATATAACAACACAAAGATGAATTCTACATCATGATGAAGGGAGGTTTAGCCTAGAATTGTTAAATTAAGCATTCAGAAATCAATCAGTGTAATTCACTATATTAAGAAATTAAACATGGAAAGCCATCCAATCATTTTAATTCATGCACAAAAAGTCTTTAACAAAATCAAATGTCATGATAAAAAAAAAAACAGCAGGCAAAAAATAGAAGGAAACTTCTTCAGCCTGATAAAGGGAATCTACAAATTCCTACACCTAACATATGCTTAATGTTAAAAGACAAAATGATTTCCCCCTAAATATGGCACTGAAACCAGAATTACACTCATTACTCCTATTCAGCATCATATCACAAACCTAGCAAGTCTCACCAACGGAAGAAAATAAAACATAGAAATTGGAAAAGAAAGAATAAAACAAAGTTTAGTCACAGGTGATGATCATCTATGTAGAAAATGCTAAGGAACTTCCTTGAAAGCTACTGAAATCATCACCTCTGCCACAGTGAGGTGAATAGCTGCCCCAAAGGCAGTATGGCCCTCATAGCTGAACATAATGCTTAGCCATTTACCAAAAGAAGTCTGTTGATCCCTGATCTAGAGTCTCCTGATTACTGTTACTATCCTAATTCTGAAGAGCAGTTTGAATGAAAAGAAAAAAAAATGAATGTCCAGTCCCAGGAGCCAGGACTGCTGGGTTCTGGTCACAGCTTCACCAGCAAAGAAGGGAGTAGAAATAAGAATTTCTGATAAGAACAATAAATTCACCAGAGTGAAAGCTCAACTGGGTGGATTCTGTGGTTTCCAGCCCTGCCCTTTCTTCTGAGATTATAAAGGCAGGTATCAGAGGAAGAGTGGCATAACAAGCTCACTATGGGCAGCATCCCAGGGAAAATGCAGGCCCTGTTCCTCCTGGTGATCCTTCTCTTGCCTCCCGAAGCTGGAGCTGGTGAGTCTTGCCTGTACTTCCCTGTCCTTTGGATCTCCAGGTCTCATCCCAAATGTGTTGGCCTAGGTCAGGGAAGATCCTAGAAGAAGGCTACGAGATCCCTTTCCAAGTGCCCCAAGAGAAATCTCTAACTGAAAGGGTCACAGCCTCCCTTGCAGTGACTGACTGCCTTCGCCTGCTTTCCTCAAAATACCACTAATTCTGGTTGATGACCCTTCTCTGGCCTTACCCTTGTGTTGAGGAGATTCAGATGAGGACATGAAGTGCCTCAATAAAATGATAACTCAGAAGACTGGCCTTTGTGTTCTGAGGATTCACAGAATGGAATGGGGAGAAAGGCAAAGTAAAGGAGGCATAAAGGGCTTTACTGCACAAGGGTAAGGATGAGGGCCAGGTGCAGTCTCTCAGTTTAACCCCATTTTCTTCTGTCAGTGCTTTCCTGGAAGGTTCTGTTAGTCTGTGACTGGGGATCTGGGTTCTTTGTTCCAGAAGAAATCATTGGTGGTGTTAAGTCGAAGCCTCATTCCCGCCCCTATATGGCCCATCTGAAAATCAGTAGTGGAGGTTATACTTACAGCTGTGGTGGGTTTCTCATAAGTCAACAATTTGTGCTGACTGCTGCTCACTGCAAAGGATGGTAAGAAACTTTTCACTTATTCTCTCCTCCTGTGAGGATGTTACAGAAACTACTGAGTTACAGAAATACAGAGTTATAGCAAATACTGAAGTGGCCTGAAGAGAGGCTCTCCTGCCCTGCTCATACCTAGGAGGTTAGCAACAGGAGGATCTGGACATTTCACTCCTCACCCCTGCCAGAGAACAGGGCTTTATACAGGGCAGCCCAGATCAAGACAGTCAATACCACCCTTCTCATCTGGTGCCGCCAGAGCAATCCCAGTTTTGCATCTGCCAGCTCCCTGCCCTCCTCACTTTCGTTGTTCCTTGTGACTCTGTCCTTAGAAGATCTGAGCCCTTCCAGTGTGAAGTGGGAATAGGGTCATTCTGTTCATAGTGGGCTCCTCTCACAACATAGGCACTTTTTCCTGTCTCTCTTTTGTACCTTAACAGGAAAATTATTGTCATTCTTGGAGCTCATGACTTAACACAGGAAGAACACACGTGGCAGAAGCTGGAAGTCACAAAACAATTTGTTCACCCAAATTACAATCCTTTTAAAAATCTCAATGACATCATGTTACTGAAGGTGCCATTATCTTTTTTATGCTTCTCAGTTGCCCTTTCCTTAACCTTCCTCCTGACCTGTATCTCTCTCTCTCTCTCTCTCTCTCTCTCTCTCTCTCTCCCCCCCATTTCCTTGGAACCCATTTTCCCATGCTATGTCATCTCCAGCCCATTGGGGAGAAACTCTTGACCCTGCCCCAGGAGACCTCCACTTCACCACACTGCCCAATACCACCCAGATTTCTTGGGCAATGATCCATCTTCTCTGCTCTTTAAACAGCTGCAAAGCAAAGTCACGCTGACCCACTCAGTGAACACAGTTCCCCTGCCTACTGCATCCACTTTCATTCAACCTGGGAGAATGTGCCGGGCAGCTGGCTGGGGGAAAACAGGAGTGCTGGAGCCGACATCAGATATTCTCAGAGAGGTGAAGCTGAGAATTATGCATGAAAACGCTTGTGACCACTATCCAGCTTTTAATAATAACTTGCAACTCTGTGTGGGCAATCCTAGGAAGATAAGATCAGCATACAAGGTGACTACATACTTATTCTTCCGGGGGAACAACAGCCTTGGAAGGTGGGGTGTGGAAATTTGCCTAATAGGAGTGACTGGTGTCTGTTCATGGGTTCTTAGCCCCCCAGGTATCAGAATCCACTCTCCCGGTCCCATCTTCCTATGCCCAAGTTCTGCTTCCATCCTATCCACCCAGTCTTCCACACAGGGCTCCAGAAGAGAAAGAGAGAGGGTCGAGGGAACAGGATCTGGAGCCCTGAGTCCAGGCCAGAGACAGAATACAGGCAGTAAATCCTTACCTGATGACCCATGTGGAGCCAGGACCCCTGACCCAGCTCTGGATACCTTGGGTCTACCTAGGGTCTCACTGAACCAGAGTGAGGAGAGAGCAGTGAGGAAGGACAATCTCTGCTCATGTTCTACTCTCTCTAACCCACAGGGTGACTCTGGGGGACCCCTTCTGTGTGCCGGAGTGGCCCAAGGAATTGTGTCTTATGGACGTTTCAACGCGCAGCCCCCTGCTGTCTTCACTCGCATATCTCCATATGTGCCCTGGATTAAGAAAATCCTAAATAAAAAGTATCTGAGAGGCACTGCCATCCTGAGAGAGAGTCCCCAAACCTGAGCTCTCCCTGCCCCCAGCAGGCGTGAAATCCTCTGATGATCACTCCCAAAGAACCTCAATAAAGATGCAGCCTCCAGCGAGTGTGTGACTCCCTTCTGTGATCACTGCTGAGAAGTGGTCTCCTCTCCCGCCCACATCCCCCTCAATCTTGAATGAAGAGCTGCACTGGGATCCTTTTATTTTTTTCAGCTTTAATTGAATTTATTGGTACATTTGGGGGTACAGTACAGTTGCATTCATTCTTGGGATCTTGTACCTCTACATGACAGGTTTTGGTTCTCATTTTTTCCCCCTATCCCTGCCCTCCCTTCACCTCCTCCTTCCCTTCCCATCTACAAACACTTTATTTCCATCTTTTCATTATGTCACATTTTTTTCTTTTCCTTTAATATCTTTCCCCTACCCATCCCACCTTCCCTACACCTTTAGCCCCTTTCTTCACATTTCACAATGTCAGTAATTTTATTAGGATCTTATGTATTATTACAGTTTATTCACACCAGAGAAACTATTTGGTATTTACACATGTGTGACTTATTTATTTCATTTAGGAGTATATCCTCAATATGTATCCATTTTCCTATGAATGAATCTAATTTCTCATTCTTTAAGGCTGAGTAATATTCCATTTTATAGAAAAACCACACCTTCTTTATCCAGTTTCCAACTGATGGCCAAATGGGCTGTTTCCAAGTTTTAGCTATCACAAACTGTGCCACTACAAACATGGGTGTGCATACTTCTCTGTGATATGATTCTTTTAGTTCTTTTGGAAAGATACCCAGCAGAGGGATGGTGGGGTCAGATGAAACCTCTAGTCCCAGCTCTTTGAGGTATCTCTATATTGATTTCCACAGTGCTTGAACCAGTCTGCACTTCCACCAACAATGGAGAAGGGTTCCTTTCTCCCCACATCCCCGCCAACATTTGTTATTGTGTGATTTCTTGATAGCAGCCATTCTTTGTGGGGTGAGGTGGGATCTCAGGGTTGTTTTCAACTGCGTCTCTTGAATGACCAGTGATGTGGAACATTTTTTCATATATTTACTTGCCGCTTTTACTTCTTGGTCTGAGAAATGTCTGTTCACTTTGGATGCTCATTTTTGAATCGGGTCTTTATACTTGGGGAGTGCTGATTGTTTTAAGTTCTTTATATATTCTAGATAATAGTCCTTTGTCGGAGGAACAGCTGGTGAAAAATTTTTCCCACATTGTACATTGTCTCTTAGTTCTGCTGATGGTTTCTTTTGAAGTACAGAAGTAGTAAAATGACATCCCAGCTGTTGATTCTTTCTGCTAGTTCCCGTGATACTGAGGATTTGTTTATAAAGTCTTTTCTATGCCATTGTCTTCAAGAGTTCTGCCTAACTTAACTTCCAGCAAGTTTAGTGTTTCTGTTTTAATATTTAGATCTTTAATACATTTGGATTTTGATTTAGTGCATGGTGAAAGATAAGGGTTCAGTTTTAATCTGTGGCAGGTTGAAATCCAGTTTTTCCAACACCATTTATTAAAGAGGTTATCTTTCCTCCACTGAGGATGGTCAGCTCCTTTGTCAAAGATGAGGTAGCTGAGTACATCTAGAGTTGTTTTTGTGTCTTCCAATCTGTTCCACTGATCCTCAGGCCTGTTTCTTTGCCAGTACCATGCTGTTTTTATCACAGTGGCTTTGTAGTATAGTTTCAAATTGGGAATTGTTATACCCAGTGCCATGTGTCTGTTGCCTAAAATGGCTTTTGCTATTCTAGGTCTCTTCTGGTTCGAAATGAATTTTTGGATTCTTTTTTCTAGTTCTGTGAAATATAGTGTTGGAATTTCTATTGGCGTTGCATTGAATGTATATAGCAGTTTTGGTAGCATGGCCATTTTCACTATGTTGATTCTTCCTACCAGGAGCAGGGGATATCTCTCCATTCTTTTCTATCCTCTTCAATTTCTTTTTGCAGAGTGTTATAGTTTTCAGTGTAGAGATCTTTTGCTTCTTTTGTTAGATTGATTCCTAGATACTTCATTTTTTTGGATGCTATTGTAAAAGGAATTTTTTCCCTTATTTCTCTCTCAGTGAGTCTGTTATTTGTGTAGAAGAAGGCTATTAATTCTTTAGTGTTCACCTTGTATCCAGATCCTCTACTGAATCTGTCAATTAAGTCTAGAAGTCTTTTGGTGGAGTTTTTTGGGTCTTCAATGTAGAGTATCATATCATCAGCAAATAATGATAGTTTAACTTCTTCCTTTCCTATCTTTACTGCTTTAATTTCTTTCTCTTGTCTAATTGCTGTGGCTAATGTTTCCAGAACTATATCGAAGAGGAGTGGTGATAGTGGGCATTCTTGTCTTGTTCCTGATTTTAACGTGAGGGTTTTCAGTTTTTGGCCATTTAATATGATGTTGGCTGTTGGTTTTTCATAGATAGCCTTTATTAAGTTGAGGTGTAGACCATCCATTCCAGTTTTTTGCAGGGTTTTTATCATGACTGGGTGTTGACTTTGTCAAATGCTTTTTCTGCATCTATTGAGAGATTCATATGGTTTTTTATCCTTGACTTTGTTAATATAGTGTATTACATTTATTGACTTACATATTTTGAACCACCCTTGCATCCCTGGAATAAATCCAACTTCATCAGGATGTATGATCTTCTTGATAATCCTCTGTATTCTGTTTGCTAGGATCTTATTAAGGATTTTTGCATCTGTATTCTTTAAGGAGATTAGCCTGTAGTTCTCTTTTTTAGTTGCATCTTTCCCTGGTTTGGAAATCAAAGTGATACTTGCCTCCAGGAATGAATTTGGAAGTATAACTTCCCTTTCAATTTCATTGAAAAGTTTGAAGAGTAATGGCAGTAGTTTGTCTCTAAATGTCTTGTAAAATTCAACAGTGAATCCATAAGGGCCTGGACTTTTCTTTGTTGGTAAATTTTTAATGACATTTTCAATTTCACTGACTGTAATTGGGGAGTTTAAAATGTTTTTATCTTCTTTGTTCAACTTTGGTAATGCATAAGTATCTAAAAATCTACCCATTTCTTCTGTGTTTTCCATTTTATTGGAGTACAGGTTCTCTAAGTAGGTATTAATGATTCTCTGGATTTCTGTTGGATCTGTTGTGACTTCACCTTTTTCTTTCCTGATTGCATGGATCTGAGCCTTTTCTTTCCTTTTTTTTTTTATAAGATTAGCTAAGGGTTTGCCAATTTTATTTATTCTTTCAAAAAACCAGCTCTTTGTTTCATTTATTTTTTGTATCATTTCTTAGTTTCTATTGGATTGATTTCTGCTTGAATCTTTATAATTTCCTCTCTTATTCGAGCTTTTGGTTTTTCTTGCTCTTGTTTTTCTAGGAGTCTAAGATTCATCATTCAGTTGTTTATTTGAGCTTGCTCTATTTTCCTAGTGTGGGCATTCAGTGCTATGAATTTTCCCATAGAACCTCTTGCATTGTGTCCCATAGATTCCTGTATGTTGTATTGGCATTTTCATTTATTTGTAAAAACTGTCTAATTTCTTCTTTAATTTCCTCTGTAATCCATTGATTGTTCAGGAGAGTGTTGTTCAGTGTCCATGTGCTTGTGAATTTCCTACAGTTTCTTGTGCTATTGATCTCCAGCTTGATTGAACTGTGATCTGATAATATATAGAGGATAACTTCAATTCTTTTGCACTTATCCAGACCTGTTCTGTGAGCCAATATGTGGTCTATCTTGGAGAATGATCTATGTGCAGCTGAAAAGAATGTATATTCTGATTTTGTGGGATGGAATACTCTATAGACATCTATTAATTCCATGTGTTCCAAAGCTTGGTTCAGTTCTATTATTTCATTGTTGATTTTTTGCCTAGATGATCTGTCAATTTGTGATAGTGGGGTATTTAAATCCTCCACTACAATTGTATTAGTGCTTATTTGGTTTTTCATGTTACTTAATATTTGTTTTATATAGTTGGGGGCATTTATATTTGGTGCACATATGTTTATGATTGTCATCTCTTCCTCTTGAATTGTTTCCTTTACAAGGATGTAGTGGCCTTCTTTGTCTCACTTAATGAGTTTTGGTTTGAAATTTACTCAGTCTGCAAATAAGATTGCTACCCCTGCTTTTTTCTGGGCTCCTGATGCATGGAGAATTGTTTTTCATCCTTTCACTTTCAGTCTATGGGCTTCTTTTTACTAGGTGTGCTTCTTGTATACAACAGATTGTTAGATTTTGCTTCTTAATCCATTCTGCCAGTCTATTTCTCTTGATTGGTGAATTGAGGCCATTAACATTGATGGTTATAACTGATATGTTCTGACTTACTATTGTCATGTTATTGTCCTTTTCTTGACTCTTTTTACTTTTTCTCCCCTCTTCTTTTAGTTTCTTGCCTTGCCTATTTGATTTGATCTGTTGGGCCTCATGGTATTGTGGCCTTCGTTGTCCTTTTCTAGGATATTGTTTAGAATTCCTTGCAGTGCTGGTTTGGTGTTCATGGAGTTTCTCGGGTGTTCTTTGTCATGGAAGTATCTTATTTCCCCCTCCATTTTGAAAGAGAGTTTTGCAGGATACATCAGCCTAGGTTGGAGGTTGTTTTCTTTTAGGACTTGAAATACCTCACTCCATGCTCTCCTTGACCTAAGGGTTTGTGTTGAAAAGTCTGCTGTGATTCTAATCCTTTCCTTTGCATGTGATTTGTTTCTTTTCTCTTACTGCTTGTAGTATTTTGTTCTTCTGTTAGATTTCCTGGATCTTGATTATTATATGTCTAGGTGTAGATTATTTTATCATGGCTAGTTGGAGTTCTATATGCCTCACTTATCTGTATGCCTAATTCTTCCCTTCTGTTTGGGAAGTTTTCTGTCATTAATTCTGTGAAAAGCTTTTTTAAGTCAATTGTGTTTTCTCCTGCTTTTTCATGAATTCCTATCAGTCTTATGTTTTTTTTCTTTGCATCATCTAGAAGTTGTTGGATTGATTTCTCATGATCCCTTACTGTTTTTGAGATACTAGACCTCTTTTTTCACAGTCACTGACTGCAATCCTATCTT